AAGCAAATATACGCGATCCAGATCCCAAAAACCGTTTCATTTCCCATTTGTAATAATGGCAAATGTTATGTGTAATGAAACGACGGTGGTTGGATGCAGACTCATTTTATTTTATGAACTCTGATCGTACCTACAATTAACTACCTTCAATATTATATTCACAAACTAAGGTAAAAGGTTCTTTTATGGGGAACTGTATACGTTTTTACAATAAGATTCCGGAGTATATATTAAGTTTATCATTTCCTAAGTTAAAACTTACATTAAAAGTATTTTAATTGAAAATTTACATTACACACTTGAAGAGTGTATTGGTATGGAAAGACAACATGAATCTACATTCCATACAAGTATGATTCAAAGTGTGTTCGATAGCATTTAAGTTTATTAGAAAAGAGCAATCCCTAGAGGTTCTTTGCTTGTTCTTCTCAGGGAAGTCGGCACAGTGAACGAGCAGTAGCCTAGAAAATGACGTTTTCAAGTGTAAAAAATTTACCTATAAGATAAATGTTATTTTATTTATTTTTTTGTACGACCTAAACGTTTTTTTTGCACAGTTCGTCCGCTTCGCAAATATTGAGGAGGACACGCCGTCCTACCACCGTCGGTACGATTTCTTCGTGTCCAAATTCAGCGCCATGTGTCACAGCAACCACAGCGACAAGACTATGCGTGACAAGATACGCTTAGCTGGCATTCAGGGACTGCAGGTAGGTCTTATAGAATAACCTAGGATGCGACGTACAAGCAACTAATAACAAGAACACACTCAGGTTTGCATGTGTCGGTGAGTCATTAAGGGCGCGTTCCCATTATATCGTGACGACAGATAGTCATGCAGTTTAAAGTGTCGTGGCTTGTATATTTAAATGAAGTGTTCACAGATAGTAACACACGATTAACTGTTGTTCACGACGACAGACTGTCGTGACAATGGGAAGAGCTAGAACGACAGTCATCCAATAAATAAAACGTCACGATAAAAATGTGACAACAGTAAACGCAGCTTCAAATAATTCTGTCGTGCAAATGACGAGGCGGCTGCCGTGAATCGATAAATTGCCATCACGATCTAGAGGAGAACAGCTAGACACGACAGTCGTAAAATTTCACTCAAGTGACTGATCATTCTTTCCCTGGACTCTTCAACTTGATAAAATTTAACAGAGAATTAAAACAGAATTATCTTTTTTTTTTAATCAACCAATGAATTATATTGTAATTTAACCACATAATAAGGGCACAGTTTCGTACATTCGTCTTTTTAACATAATAAACTTCGAATACGACTTTTTATAGTAAAAAAATCTGATTATGGATGGCAGTTGTGCCCTTTAAGGTCGCAGTATATTCAACAACCATTGAGACGCATTTCTACAAAAAAATAAGTAAATTGGTTTATTTTCCTGCTTCCGAATGTGTATGTAACTCAGTTTTGATTTATATAATTTTTTTGCTCTTCTCAGGGAAATTTGTTTTCCGAATGAACACTTGTTTTTAACCGACTTAAACATTTTTTTTATGTATGTTACGCGATTTATGAAGCGATTTTGATGGTTCTTTTTTTGTTCAAAAGAGTGTGTCTCAGTATTGGTCCCATTTAAATTTGAAGAATATATTTCACCTCTTAGAGTGGCAAATTAGGGGATGAATCAGGTTTCGCGCACTTTCCGGTAACCGATTTCAATAAAATTAAAGTAAAGTAATTCCACGAACTTTTAAGGTCGGTTTTTTTAGCACCCTGTAGTGAGATTCTCAAAAACTATACTTTGTAATTCAGTAGTGTGAATTGTGTAGACATTTTTAGGTTAGGTTATTATTTTTATTAGTTTTTTATCTCAAGACAGTATTGCGATTGTCCACAATCTCAGCTCAAGGTAATGAAGATAGAATCGCCTTGAAACTGACCTTCAGTTTCATAAAGTAACTCTCTTACGTGTTTTTTTTAAATTCCAGGGTGTAATTAGAAAAACAGTTGCCGACGATCTGGTGGAGAACATCTGGGAAGCCGAACACATGGACAAGATTGTACCATCGCTGCTTTATAACATGCAGGTGAGATTTTCATGTTAATTTTTTTTATAATATCAAGGGACTGCACGAACAAGTCGTGCGCCTGATGTTAAGCTAAACAGTTGCATTGCCACTCAGAGCTTTAAACAGCAAAGATCTGAGGGCAACTGGCACAGCACCCGTCACCCTTACCCTTCAAAATCGGAACGCAGTAATGCTCACATTACTGCTTGGCGGCAGTAATAAGTAAGGCAGTACTTAAGTACTTTCCTTACGAATCGGTAGTACTGTTTAATCAATTTAATTTTCTATTTTTTCTTCTTCGGATCTAGTAAAAAAGCATAATACCATTGTTCATACTCGAATAAGAGCCTTGAGCTTGAGCTCTTGAAATTCTGTATTGAGTCTACACCAGGCGTTTTTCTTTGTGAGATTCTTTCACGTCTACCAACGTTTTTTTATAAAAGGACACCCCTTCGAACACCTTCGTAAGATAAGCACATACTCAAATATTGTTTTTCATAATTAATATATATATATTGTAAGGAAATTTATATACCTAGTTAGTAATATTAATATATTAATAAGTACTATAATAGAAGGGCTGTAGCTCAGATGCATTGCGAGAGGTACTTTTAATAATATAAAACCAGGATCATCTTAAACTTTGGTTTATTTTACCATTTTTATGTCTAGGGTTACAAAACAATAATCTTACTATCAATGTCAAGATCTTCTATTTTCTTAACATTCTTTTTCAAAGAATTCTAAATACAAACTAACTCATTCAGCCAGCAATTCTACTCATAGAGTACAGCCTCGTCTACATCCCTCTTCCTCACAGCTGAAGGGGTGAATATCCCTAGCTGGTAGTCTACCTATGATAGGCAACATACATAGTGATCAGCCTTTACTACAGGCTAGCCACACACTGCTCGGAAGTCACTAACTTACCAACAAGTAAACCACCGAGGAGGCTATGGCTTTGGTCTGCCAAAAACCTATCTAAAAGGACAGACCATGATCACATCCTAAACAAACAAATCAAAATATTTTCACTAGTTAGCTATCCTATCTAATTAGGGAACCTGACTAAACCCTAACACTTTATTTTAGCGACCCTAAACTGGCTGAACGATCCTAATAAAAATTCTAAACATCACTACAAGTTCCTAACTATCTCAGCCTAAGCTATCTCCAACGTGGATGCTGCTACAACGACGACACAGGCTCGAACATCCATCGGACGATCACTGGGTTACATCACTATTGATCTCCCAGCTGCCTTAGTCCTCATTTTGCAGCTATCACGTTCCATCAGCTTCCCTTGCTATCTTTAACCAAACAAAAGCCAACCCACATACAACGTCAACAACACATTCTAACTACATATTCCAAGACATATATGGTATGAGGGTATACCACATGAAGAATTTCTAATAATTAAATAAATATATTTTCCCCGAATGCAGACAGTTGTTGTTCATCTTGAAGAGTGAGCTCGAACTATGCACATATACCGGATAATATATCTATCAAATTAAAAAAAGGGAAAAAGGAAAATTAAGTTAAATCTTTCTACGATATTCCATCATCATCCTCCCGTCATTCCAAGTCTGCATTGCCGGAAAATATTAATTTTTCTTAAAATATTCCTCATAACGCCAATGTGGTTCCACATGAAAAATAAATATAAAAATTTAATTAACCTAGTAGAAACAAACACATTAAATTATCTCCTAAAGAACTTTTTCATCCTATTCACATGGAGTAGATTCTGCCTACCCAACCTTTTCCTATTCATACTTAATCTGCACGTAATACAATTATTCCTACTAAACCAAATCACTACCCTAAGCTTCGCGTAACATACCTCTTTTTATATATCAAGGCAATCCTGTCTTTCTTATCAAATAACCGCTTCCGTCGCGATTGTAAACTATCTATACATTCTTTATGTGGATCGATCGAAGTTGCCCGCTTTATAAATTCACTTTGTAAATTCTCCATATTATTTACGCGACCACGTTTAAGAATGTCACTTTCCGACTTACATTTTATACTTACTTTCGGCGAAGCATATTTATAATTATTTTCATTGAAATTATAAACTTGACGTAATTGACACGTCTTATCACTCACGTCAACATCACTTATCATCTCTGGCAAAACCGAAAAGCTATCTAAACTTTTTGATATCGGTTTCAAAGGAGACTTTCCTTTCTTTGGTCCAATATCTATCATGGACTTAGAAGAAGAAATTTTATTGTCAATTTCCACTTTTGACAACTCGAAATTACACTTTTCCAAAACATCTCGACCCAGAACCAAATATTTTTCAAGATCGTCTACAACCAGCAACTTCGAAGGATAATCCTTCCCATTAATCATCAACGACACCTTGGTGGACGACTGCACATTTATTGGCGTTGCACCCACTATACGTAATGGAAAACTTGGACTATCATCGATACGTAAATGTAACTTTTCCGCAAAATACCGAGAAATTACTGAAACTGAAGCATTAGTATCCACCAACGCCTCGCAACATACATCATTAATAAAAACAGATATAAAAGGTGTCCTATCTACGCTAGAACTATCAATTGTAGACAAATTTTCTACATGTTCAGTTGCGCTTTTCTGACAATCACGTTGAGGAGATCCCGACGAAGATCCACTACTATGTGCTCGTGAATACCCTTGACTTGGCGTATCCTGCTGCACGATTGGTGCTCGTGGCACTAAATATTCCGACTGTTTAGACTCGGGTCTAATTATCGGTGCAGAGACATCCTGTGTTTGCCAACAGCAAGAAGGCTCCATATTACAATTCACTGGCAATTCAATATCTTGTCTCACATTATAGCTGTGATTAAATACATCATCTACTTGGATAATTGTCTTTCTCAACTCCTCTTTAGATAGATACAAATTACTTGCCAGCATCCATTTAAAATTGGGTATCAAAGACTTCAAAAAATGCTTAATAAACTGAACATCTTGAATATTCGCTTTCCTCGCTAACTCATCTAAACTATAAAAATAACTTATAAGCGATTCACTATGCCCCTGTCGCCTATAATAAAATTCTCGGGCGTAATCAATTTGTGAGGGAAATTCCTCTCTCAACCTCTGTGCAATCACATCATACGACACGTATGAAGAAGAATACGTTTTGTACCATTGCAGAGCTGGCCCCTCCAAATACAATGCAAACACGTATTTCTTCTGCACATCAGACCAATTATTTAATATACTAATGGTCTCAAATTGGTTCAAAAACTCATCTACGTCGTTGAATCCATTAAACTTTTGCGCCGACATATTATCATACATATTTTCTCCTCGCACTTTTTACTGGCACCAAATAAAAATTAATATTAAATAAGTATAAATATAAATTACGACCTTTTATTACGCATTCCTGGTGGCTTTGTCGTAACAACATATAAACATTTTTCCACGATGGACTTTTCTTCATCGGAATCCTTTCTTCATTAGTAAGCTTGCGTCTAACTTTTGCAGGCTTGAATTACATTATATTTCTTCTTCGTAAAAACATATAAAAATATTTTCCAACGGCGTTCGTGCCTCCACCATTTATAATCGAGTCCGCGCCTCCACCATTTATAATCGAGAGCTGTAGCTCAGATGCATTGCGAGAGGTACTTTTAATAATATAAAACCAGGATCATCTTAAACTTTGGTTTATTTTACCATTTTTATGTCTAGGGTTACAAAACAATAATCTTACTATCAATGTCAAGATCTTCTATTTTCTTAACATTCTTTTTCAAAGAATTCTAAATACAAACTAACTCATTCAGCCAGCAATTCTACTCATAGAGTACAGCCTCGTCTACAGTACTATTCTTTTACTTTGTTAAGTTAGTTAATTATGTATATACTGGTTGTTTTGAAACGTGTAGGTAAGAAAGAGCGGAGTCTCCTGACACAGGCTATGCTTAAAAGGAGGCTCCAGCCCCTATTGTTTAAGAAACCATGTTTTAAGATAAATAAAGATTATTATTATTATTATATTATTATTATTATACAATCGTACTTACATTTGGGTTTCACTGAAGCTCCTTCATGTCCACGAAGACAACCATAAAGAGTCCACTAAATACAGAACTGATGGACACCCTTCTCTTGCAGTCCGCAGAAAAATATGAAACAGTGTCCTGCATGGACACAGACACTCGAGACGGAGTCGAAGAGGACCCTCCGAAGTTGGCAGAAGCATGTTTGCGAGAGCTCGTGGGTAGAGCATCGTTTGGACATATACGCAGCGTGCTGGGACCTGTTCTTACGTAAGTTTACCTTGGATAAAGACTAAATAACACAAATCTCCTAATCCCGTACTAGGGAAACCCTGTATCGCGGGTACCATGGATACACGCATAGAGAAACCACAAATTACACACAAACTCACGAGAACCAAATCAACTGCGAACTGGCAATCGGTACTTTCTCAATTTTGACAACTTGACAGGATGAAGAAAAAAATTGTTCGCGTCATTTATATAGCATCTAATTTATTAAATAAACATACGTAGCTTTAATTATTTTTATTACACATACACTACGTATTTTTATTTAATAAACGAGATGCTTTATAAATGACGCAAGCAATTTTTTTCTTCATCGTCATCCGACAAGATTTTTTTTTGGAAAATTAGAAAATAAATTAGAAAAGAATGTACGGAATAAAACTAATATGTACAATATCGTTTTTCATATCAAATAGAATTAAGTAATATTTGGCATCCGCCGCACTGCAGTAGGTTGGTGCCAGTGACCTATCACAAAGTCGAAAATTTTTTGTCCGAAATAACGTTGTTTGAATTTTCATTACACCGAAAACCGAATTATAACGAAACAGTTGTTCTTTCAGGATAGAATAGAATAGAATAGAATCGTTTATTTCATGTTATCAATGTCACAATATTACAATTGGAAATACAATGTCAAGGGATAACTATGATATGTTGAATGTTTATCGCAAAGACACGATTAGGTTCGGTTAAGTTAGGTTTCAAAAAAAAAAGATCTGCAACAACCACAAGGAAAAATTCGTAAGATCTACCAGTTTGTTCTGTGGCTAAGTTGGCATAGGGTGTGACACGGTTTGCTAGAAGACGTTGGTTCGAATCCAGCTGGATCGAAGGAATTTTTTCTTAATGTTCGATCTTTGTATTAAAAATTATAACAAACTACATTACCGGCACGCTATGACGGCCGTTTTGACAGATTACAATAGTGAGGTCAAATTTAATCAAATGCGAGTCGCGTCTATAAGTTTTTAGATTTATAACTAGTATTGCAAGGGGTAGCTGATTAAAAAGTTTTAATGAAACGAAAATAAAACTGCTTTGTTTTGCATTGAGCTTTGACGTGAGTTTGTCGGAGGTAAAAGTTGTGCTGGCCAGCGATGCCATAAGTGACGATCGTATTACATTTTGTTTTGTAAAATCTCGAATTTCGATAAATAAATGCCGAGTTGTCTCGTGAAATTATATATTTCATAAATTTACTGCACGTTACAAGCAATTAGTACCTTCCACGTAATTGTCAATGAATACGGAACTTGATGAGCGGACTAACGTCAAAACGGCCATCATAGCGTGCCGGTACTTTAGCGTAATTTAATAACAATAATTGAATATCATGGTGATCTAACATCATAACAAAAATTAAAATATTTTAGTTATACTTTATTTGTTTCAGTCATTTCGACCGACACGAATTGTGGGTGCCGAACGACTTCGCTGTTCACACTTTCAAGATCATCATGTTCTCTATTCAGGTATCCAGATCGATTTAAATTGAATCGTGTTTTAACTTTGTCATTTTACAAGTAAATGTGTTTATGACTCAACAACGATCATTGTAAACACTAAGCATGGAACTTGAATTTACGAAATGTGTATTTTAAATTACTTACTTACGACTTAATTGTTTTAAGTCGGGTAAAAGAAAAGAGGAATAAGTTGTTGACTTCGGGTTTCTAATAGGATGTCGCACTATTTTTATTCTTGTACTTTAATGTGTTAATTGTAATTTTATAAACCATATCACAAAAGCGCTTTTTTTAGTTTAGAATCAAAATTCTATTTTCCATAATGGTCGCTACTTAATCGAAGTAGTTATTTGTTATGCAAGGCTGCAAAGTTGTTGTTTGACGCGAGTATTTCTATTGAAACCAGTGCAAGGGAAGGATTTAGTGTTAGGCATTGAACCACGAGGGAGGTGATTGGTTTAATAATAGAATCCTGAACGTAGTGAGGGCTTCAAGGCGTGAGACTCTGAAACAACTTTGCCGCTGAGCGAAACACGCGCAACAGCTTTTCACCTCACTATAGTGAGGAAAACGGTAGACAAAAGAATAGAACAGTTATAAATTAGTTTGGTTCATGCGTACATGAAAGATATACCAACGGATTTGTATTAGCTAGTAATTGTTATTGGAACGAACGTGACTGTATGACATTGATTTATTTATATTGGTTATTATCTTAATTAAATTACTTTTGTTTTGATGTCCTAACTGTTACACATTTTAAGATTTGGTTTTTCATTGTCCTGTGAATGAAGCCTATAATCAGTGATTTATGACTATTAAAGTATTGGACAAGTATATTGAATAATAATAGTATAACTCGTATGCCTTGATGGTACGTCATGGTTGTCATAAAATAAAAAAACCCTGTTCGATCGTTGTATTATAGTTATTTTTGATACAAGTGCGGAAAGTTAGTAATTATTCACGAGTCTCGAGGCTTCTTGGCCCGAGCCAGAGGCGAGGGTCAAGACGCGAGATAAGTGAAAATGACAAATCCGCACGTGTATCAAACGACGTTTTTTAATACATTTGCGAAAAAACTACATTGAAAGTAAAATAAAACAGTATTTAAAAAAACTCATTTTCTGCTAGTAAATTAAAATAATGAAATACAACCACTGCAACCATTAGTTAAAAGTCTATGGTAATCTAGTTCTAACGTGCTGTTTTTGTTTATTTTCTGTAATATCGGTCTGTAACCACTTTTCTTATTATGAACTTCTTTAGGAACCCGTGCACGGTAGTGAGATACAAATTATCTGTAATACATAGAACAAATATATACATAAAAATCTCGCCTGTCACCCATTCAGGGGTAGGCAGAGACTGTGGACCTCCACTCGATACGTTTATTATATGTATAGTATTTGTAAATAAATATAAGTTTTAATGACGAATGACTTACGTCACAAAGCACATAAATATGAAATAAATATACAATCTCTTTAGTTTTATGTTTAAGACTTAAAACAACAGTAAATTTAAAAAAACTGGAAAAGTAAAAAGCACTAGTGCGAGAAATCCAACTTTCCGCACGCTTTGTAGTGCGAAAAATACCACGTTTTGAGCAACTGTATTAAAAAGAATTATAACAAACTAGTGGAGCAATTTCACAAAGCGAGTGTTACCGTGTGGACTGTGCGTGTGACGCCGCCCGCTCTGACCAGGCGCAGTACTCGTACAGCGTGGTGGAGGCGCTGATGCAGCACCTGGACGCGGCGGGCGCGCCGGGGCCCGACAGCGCGCGCGCCCGCACGCGCGTGCGCGCCGCGCGCGCCGCCGTGCTCAGCAACATCGTGGCCATCGCCGCGGGCGACAGCGTGGGTGCGTGTCTGTCGCAGCCGGCTCGCCGGAGCCATCGAGCGTGCAGCCAGAAATGGAGACGAGACGAGCACCCCAGCTCTTATAAACATCGACTCTCGTTTGCATTGACTTACAAATAAATGGACGACGGGTCTAATACAAAAACCACGAAAACAATGTCCCAAGTCAACCTATTCGAAATTTAAATTGTAATGTCATCGCAGTATCGCGCTGTCAGTCGAACAAATGAAGACTAAAGCGGAGTGTCGCGCTCTGTATATGATTTTAGCGCCTTACAAGTGCGGACACTTTTTAGCGCGGACCCGACGTCCATATAATTGTAAGTCAATGCTCGTTTGCACTGAAATTAGACAGGCCAAAAATATTCCGTGTTTGTAGTGATAAAGATAATATCTCCAACAATGCCGTGCTGTCCTATTCGGTGGTGTGGGACATTTCGTCGGTAATTAAATATGTAATTTTGCAATTTTCGTCCATTGTAGCAGCGCTCAAGTTAACTGGTCGTTTTGAAGTGAAACAGTTGACATCACCCGTCAACTGTTTCGAACTCGGGCTGGCCAATCGGAGCGCAGTTGTCACAGTAATGATATGGCAAAATAGTTTTCAAACAAACTAAATAACGTTTCGTCTCTATTTCTGGTTATATACTTAATGCCGAGGCTTAAGAGAACACAATTCCTATTAATTTTCACGATAGAAAAACAAAACAAACTTACCTGGAAATTTTACAAGAGAACCGCTGTATTCAATACTTTACATATGCCAATTATTTTCTTTATGTCAACTGAATGAAATACAACACGTTGTAGTATACGATATACATTTTTCAAATTGCTGTAGTTTCGTTTGTAAAAAAAATAAATACTGAAATAAAGCCCAAGCAAAATGAACCATACGGCACGGGAAAAATTTTAATTCTAGCTGAATATCCACTCTTGAGGCATTTCCATTGTTTCTTTTTTTTATTCAGTGTATGTATGGCATTATAGTCTATATATACCATGGATTCGATAAATATTTTGTTTTTACATTTATCTTTGTTTTAGGACCGTCTGTGCTTGAAATCATCAATAACCTTTTGACGAACTTACGAGCTTCCGTAGCAAGAGATTCCGAGGTAAAATATATTTTTTTTTTCAATACACTTAACTATTTACTATCCCAAACAGTCTACTAGTTTTAACAATATGGTTTAAATAATTAAAGCAACGTACTATTCTTTAAGATCCGGTTTTTTGTAATAACAATCGGACAAAGCAGAGTATATTTTTAGTCTATTCTTTTGTTTATATACATAAGCCTGCCAAATTTATATATACAATACATTTTTTTGCATTTAAGTTACTTTGTGCCTTAAGATACGAGTACGACGTAATGTTTTCACATTTCTCTGCCGTCCACTAACTAAAATGTGGCTAAGTGACAAATCGACACATCCGTAGAACAAAGGTCTATGTGCAAGGCTACTTATTCTCAGGACATAGTACATTTCGTACGTTCTTCTTCGCTGTCAGATCGACTGTTGTTCAATTTTATAATTTCCGAAACGAAACAAGATATATAAATTCTCAAAACACCTTTACGTAGGCCTTAGTTTGAAAAATAAAATTATTCTGTAACGTACTTATTCTCTTTTCGCTATATAATCACATCGGACTCTGTTCTTCGGATGAGTCGAAATGGTCGAATATCCGATTTATATAGCAAAAAATAGAGCTCAAAATTTTCTTTTAAAAACAGCTAAAGTTAGCGAACGTGTTCGAGATATCATTATACAATTTCAATGTTCTAAAATTGGGTTATGGTGTTTCGTGATGTCTCAAAAAATTATTTTGTCACTATGGCCATAACATGGCTGAATATGTGTGATAAACCTCCCCGTGACATTATATAATTCAGTCCATAAATCTAAGTTTGCTTATTTGGTAACGAACCATTGTTATACATTTTGAAGAACAAGGACAACGATATGAAATTGCGTATACAGCTATCTTTGTCGTTTAATCATCGCCGCGAAAACCATGAAACAAAAAATGTCTTTTCATTTTTTACGTTGATAAAATTACTGTGTTTTAAAATCAACTGTGACCATGCAGCCATGTTTGGCACTGTGTTAATCTTTTGCAGTCATTGGTCGCCGGCGTTCGCGATGTCATAAAAATGTGACGTCACGGCGCTCGCCATGTTCGCTATTGTGATAATTTTTTTGCTAAAATTGGAAATTTTAAAATTTATCACTCGAATTTCATAGTTACATGTGGATATAATAATATTATTATTAAGTTTATTTTTTATTTTATGCAGAAAGAAACCGACGAGAAACTCTACCAAGAAGCGTTGATAAATGCGTTAGGCGAGTTCGCAGATCACTTGCCCGATTTCCAGAAAATAGATATAATGATGTTCATCGTGAGCAAGATACCTAGTCAGCGCGGGAAGGTCACCAAGGCCGATTGCATGCTGCAGAGTATATTACTAAAATCCCTGCTAAAGGTAAGTCGTTTGGTTTATTTATTTATTTATAATTAAACTCTTGTGGATTTGCTGCTCAACTAAAATTCCCCAGGAACATTTGAAATTCTATATTTTTATTTTATTCACAACAACAACATGAACATGAATGTCATAATAGTAAAGACATCTATATATTCAATAAAATAAATTTTGTAATTAATATAGCGACATCTCTCGTCAGTCTCTGGTACTTTTATAAGTTTCTTATAAGTGATGTTGACGGCGAAAAAGCCCTTTAAACACAATACGAAAGATCTGCAACAAGCAAATAGAGAAATTCTTGTCTCGGTCTGTAGCTCAGTAAGAGCGATGTCATTTATAAAACCTATGATATTGCCGTACTTTTGTGGCGCGTGTCTTGTCTAATAACATCGAGTATATAACCAGAAATAGAGACGAAATGTCATTTAATTTGTTTGAAAACTATTCTGCCAAATCATTAGGGTGACAACTGCGCTCCGATTGGCCGTCCCGAATTCGAACTTTCTTCACACAGTGAACTTGCCCCAAAAGGGCCTGAATTCGTATGAAATGTATTGCTGCTTTATATGTACTTAGGTTACATGATTAAGAGCACGTCTGCTCGTCTCGAGAATATTGTATGGAAAGACGACGGAACGAAGCTAAGTAAGTGTGACAAAAAAAGAATTAGAGAACAATTCAAAATTTCAACCAGAGAATAAGTACGGTGCATTTTGCCTTTGTGTAAACGAGTGAAACTGTGAAACAGGTGGGCACCACGTACAAGACGACGGAGCTGAGCAAGGCCTTCCCCGCGGCCTTCCTGGAGGCGCTGCTGCGGCTGTCCAGCGCCGAGGAGCCCCGCACCAGGGCGCTGCTGCAGCGGATCCTGCACACCCTGCTGGACCGGCGAGGGAACCGCCACCACGTCTCCACCCCCACGTCAGTCTCTTTACAAACTGGTCACTTCAATCTTCTCTTACCTTCGACCAAATACAAATAGCTTTTCATCACACTTGCTCGTGAATGTTATGATTGCGTGGTGGCTAACTTGACTATAATGCCCCAAATAAAACCCACCTGCCTTTTTTCTTTCCATTATAGCCATGGTCGGTAAGGAGCTTTTTTAAATTTATAGCACGACATACTTCGTTCCTACGTCGAATCAGACTCCGTTGGACAGCTTTCGGGAAGCTCCGGGACTTGTTCTCGTCAGCAATACCGCAATCCTTGAAGACACAAAAGTCTTCGAGCAGTGCGTGTTGCCAGCGATGACCTATGGCTCTGAAACATGGTCACTTACTATAGGCTTCATAAAAAAGCTCAAATTCACTCAACGAGCTATGGAGCGAGCATTTCTCTACGTTATCGAATCAGAAATTAGAAGATCCGTAGAAGAACGAAAGTTACCGACATTGCTCTAAGGATGAGCAACTTGAAGTGGCAGTGAGCAGGGCATATAGCTCGAAGAACTGACGGCCGTTGGGGCAGAAAGGTTCTTGAATGGAAACCATGAACCGGAAGGCGTTCAGTGGGACTACTAGATGGACGGATGACCTGGTAAGGGCGGCGGGTAGCCGATGGATGCACGTCGCGTCCGATCTGCTGGTCTGGAAATCTTTGGGGGAGGCCTATGTTCAGCAGCGGACGTCTTCCGGCTGATGATGATGATACTTCCTTACATAGGTCAGGTATTGAACTTGAACAAGGTTACTTAAGTTCATAATTATAACATTCGCATACGTGGTGGTAAGGTGGCAATACTTGGACGAACTCATTCACAAAGAACTCGACTGGAACTAAAAAATAAAATCTAATAAAAATATAATTAATTAAGTATTAATATTTACAGGGTGGAGTATGCGGAGCTCGGGTTAACTGTGGAGAAATGCTCTCGGCAGGATTTGATATTCATCAGCAAACACGGTTACGCAATCTTCAGCTCGTTATATGAAGGTAAGAAATTTAGAAGTGTAATAAGTAGAAGGGTACCACACATAGACAACCACAAATTATACTTAAACTCACAGGAGATTTCTCTTGTAGAGCAATAAATTTTTGGTTCTTTCAATTTCCTCTCAAAAAGTGACACAAGAAAATGTCTAAAAGAGGACGTGGTGGTTCCGCGGGAGCGAAGTTTCGCATCTCACTGGGTCTCCCTGTGGGAGCTGTAACCAATTGTGCCGACAATACAGGAGCAAAGAACCTGTATGTAATTGCGGTACAAGGTATCAAGGGTCGTCTCAACAGACTGCCTGCTGCCGGGTCTGGGGACATGATCGTCGCCACTGTAAAGAAGGGCAAGCCTGAACTCAGGAAAAAGGTAATGCCTGCAGTGGTAATCCGGCAACGGAAACCATTCAGAAGGAGGGACGGTGTGTTCATATACTTTGAAGACAACGCAGGCGTTATAGTGAACAACAAAGGAGAGATGAAAGGCTCCGCTATCACAGGGCCCGTGGCGAAGGAGTGCGCGGATCTTTGGCCGCGTATTGCATCTAATGCCTCGTCTATAGCTTGAATATATAACGTTAATAAATAATAATAAAAAATTACAGGCCTTCAATTAGAGTCTAACACAGCGGAGAACATCGAATCGATCTACACGACACTAGCATTGTTATTCATTGAATTGGCGTCCGAAGAAACTGTGTGCGACATGCTGCAAGTTATTATGGCGTAAGTCATTTTTAAATCATTCTATTTCTCAACAAACGTCTCAAGTGCCTGTAATTTTACCAGCACCCTTTCCCTTCAAAGCCGAAACGCAGTAATGCTCATGTTACTGCTTTGCGGACTTGTTCCTACCGCTCTACTACTACTAAAAGAGATTGACGGATAGTACTGTGGGATCATAGCCGTGGGTTTAGCGTTGCAAGAGGTACTTTTTAATAAGAAACGAGGAATATATTCATAAGTAAAGATTTACTGCCTATGTACATGTACAACTCAAGAATTCGTCTAGAACAACCGCGATGTTTACTTTACCACCATGCTCTCTTATTTTTATACAATTCTAAATACAAACCTATATTTATTCAGACAGTTCAAAATACAAACCAAGCTGCCTGCTACAGTACCATTAATAAGTTTATTCCAGTGTGGACAATAAAACTTTTTATCTATGTAGTGAAAGTTGAAAAGCTGTGTTCTGAGTTCGTGTTTCTGTACCCAGCATTCAGCAGTCGTCGCTGGCCAACCCCGTGGTGTCGGTGGCGCAGCAGTGCCAGCTGCAGACCGTGGCCATCTCGCTGGCGGCGCTCATCCCGCACGTGTGCATGCTGCCGAGACTCGCCGACTACATCGACAAGGTTTCTGGTTTATTAACGCATACCTCACTCTTAACTGACCCTTTTAAATAATAACCGTTCGTCGTAAAAACGTAATTTGTATTGAGATGAGTAGTCATTTTTTTCATCACACTTGCTCGTGAATAGTATGATTGGCTAACTTTACTCTAATGCCATAAACAACACCTTCGGGCCTTTTTTCTTTCCATTACAGATGGCTGTAATAGAAACTCCACTCCTTTTAAGGAATTTTTTTAAAATTTGTAGCACGACATACTTCCTCACATAAGTCCAGTTCAAGCAAAGAGGTTACTTAAGTTCAAAATTAAAATATTCACTTAAAATGTTATCTAAACGGAAATATAATTGCAATTCAGCCACATACTACCTCAATCCTTATTGTTAAGAATTTCCTATAATTGATTTTAATTATTTTCTGTATAAAAATTTAGAATTTTTTTAACAATCCGTTATGGCTGTATGCGTCTTTGCTTTTTACGACATTTTAGTTTCAGTTATATTATCTATAGAAGTATAGCTAGCTGACCGTCGTTGTTAGAAAAACACCGGTCATTAGCAAAATCCATAACCGTTGTGTTGTGAACTGTATTTATTCATATATGAAATAAACATTGCATTTATTTCCTCGCAAACGTGACGAAAGACATTGTATGTATCAAGAAACGGGAAATAAAATACAAAACTAAAAATTAAACCCCTTAGCCTTCGGTTTCGGGCTTCTAAAAGACTTTCCTTAATGACTTCTTGTTACACTAACAAAACGCTACACGCTCACTAACAAAAATTTCTTCGATTCGGCAAGATTCAATCCAGCACCTTCTAGCATACCGTGCCAGATGCTCTCCCAAGTGAACTACGGAACAAACCAGCAAACCTTACACATTTTTCTATGCACTTGTTGCAGATATGTTTTTTGTTTTTTAACGCCTTCTTTTGCCATAGCGCCATCTGTGAGAAATCCATTTCTTCACTCAGCCAGGCAACCTTTACAGCTACCAACGGCTGATCAGAGATGTCGCTTTAATAATTGTCATTTTTTAAAATTTTATTTATACATTTATATTATTTATTATTTTGTAGGAAATTACAAATTAACTACGAATCCTTATTAATTGTAGTCAGTCTTTTTTAAGACGGAGTATGATGACAGTTTATTACGCAAAAGTGCGAGAGATATGATATTAATATATGATATGATATTTATTTATTCAGTCTCACATAAGAAGATTGTACATTATAATTATATGTTAAACAAGACTTAATAATGTCTAAAGTTCGGTACCTTAAGCGAGAGTCTGGAGTTCGTACTAATAACTAGACCTGTGTTACAAATCTCCAGGCTCCCACCCCGTTACAATTTATTTATTTAGTTTTCAAAAAGGTAAGTATATAATCTAAAAGGAAAGATATGAAGATGTTTCGTGAGTGAAATTTGTGTGTGTGTGTGTGTGTGTGTGTGTGTGTGTGTGTGTGTGTGTGTGTGTGTGTGTGTGTGTATGTAAGCGTGTGTGCGAGTTCTGAATAATATAATAGAGAGCAGCTAGTGATTGCAGTTGATAAAGATTCTATCGATTATAGACCGAATATTGGTGTCGCTTATAAAATCAATAGCCGAACACAAACCTCGACCCATTATCCAATTACGGAGCTCAAGTTCCTTTGAACTATCAAATTTCGTAAGTTCATACATACATACACTGTATTTACAACTATGTTTGTGAAAAATACCAAGAGGAGACATAGTTTAAGGTTTTACATTTTAATTCAATACAGACAATCTAATCCGGCTATAATGTATATGAATAAAAAATTGATCTCGGTACTAGAAGGTTAACTGTCCAAATAAGAATAAAAAAGGCAATAACGCAATTAGTAATAATTAGAACGTCATAACATTCACAATTCAGTAACTACATGACTATTTAATATTTTATGAAAACTGGCAACCCTACAAACGTCATTTTACTCCGACTTCAAAAAATACAGATTATAGTATTTTTCCAATTAGGATATTCTCAGATCGAACCAAGAATGTCCTTAAAAAGATTTCACCAGAGTCATTCTAAGCGATCGGTCTTCGTCAAAAAAAATCCAAAGGCGTGAATTGCATGTGTAATTGCAATTCCAGATAGTCGAGGCCCGGCGCGAAGACGCCCTGCACTTGCTGCCTCCGTTGCTGGACAGTTACGAGCACGTACCGGCTTCCAAGCTACCCTCCAAGTTACCTTATTTGATGATCGATCAGGTATGTTGAGATTGGCATGACCGACAGCTCTCAGTGTAAAATGCTAAACGAAAATACTTTCCCCTGTTTATTGCATTAATTGATGACTATAAACCATAGTTTCCCAAAGCGGTCCCTATCTAGAGATTCTTACGTTAAGTTAATATAAAAATGAAAGAAATGACGGTCCGGTCCGCAGATGGAGATCTGCGAGACGCTGCAGGCGGCCGGCATGGAGGCGTCGCGGCTGCAGACGGCGTCGCCGTACGTGGGCGGCGCCGCGGCGCTGACGCAGCGCCACAGCTGGGTCGAAGCCGGTAACTTCATACGTCTGTACCACACTTTGATCCTCAGCTCTGCGTGGGACGCTCGCCGGTGGCGGTCACTTTCTTCTACACTTGCGACACTCACTAACGCCACTCTTCCAAGCTTCCGCGGTAACTTGCCACCATTCTTCCTATCGCATCGACTTTCCGTCCGGAACTGTTGGTCGAAGGGTTTGCCGATCGGCGACGTAAGGATCTTGCTGATTTTTGCCCAGCGAAATCCAGACGTACGAGATTTCTTTCGTGCACCCTTACCCTTCACAACCGGAATACAGTAATGCTCATAAACGGAAGAGAAATACAATGAAAGTGCCCTAAGCCTTGATTACTATCAGAACCGATGTCGTCAAAACTCGCACACTCTTGATTTGAAACATTACAAAATCTTGATATTGTTTGGTCGAAGTTTCAAATTTAAAAAGAATTTAATATAATTTAAACTTCACCCTGTTGGCATATCGTTGAAAATTCAATACCGTCAATACCTATTATTACAAGTTACGACGTTTTGATATTATATTGAAATGTCAATCAATGTGCTACCATCTAGCGGTTAATTGCTGAACGACGACGAATTGGAGTTGTTAATTTAGTTCTTCAAACAAGAAGCGACCATGTTGCAGGGGTATAAGCTTTTTACTTTCGTTTCTTGTAACAAAATAAAAATATTTCGATAAACATAAAATTGAAAATGTATTAAAGTAAGATTTTCCGTTGATCAAAAACAGCACAATATTTTTCTAGGATATTACAGAATTTGAACGAAAGAATTACACAACCATACCATACATACCGAAAATGGCTGAGCTCAAGTAGGTCTTTCGAGACTATATTCTATTCTATATTATCTTTCTTTCTTTCTTTCTTTCTTTCTTTTCTTCGTACAAGTCAATCTTTCTCATGTTCACCTTCTTGTTTCTTTCTTCTTGCTTTTAAATGGTACGTAAAGTTTTACTAACACATGCGGCTTTTTGCAAAGCAAAGTTATTAACAATAAGTTGTTTAAGGACCTAGAACGACCTGCAGAAATATGTGTTTTATTATTTTGAGAATAAAAAACATTTCATCACTACAATAGTAGTAGTGATGAAATGTTTAGTAATAGTAGTAGTAGTAGTATTTCGAGTTTTTAGGTTCTCGCGATTGTTATACATTGGAAATGAAACTATTTTTCCATATTTATTGTATTTGTATTTGTATTTGTATTTATTTATTTGCATTTCACATATAGTCTTAAGTGTACACAAACTTAGAACTATGGTAGGAACTACATGTGAGACCCTGTAAGGGCGTAGCAAAATACACTTATGACATAATACATATTTTAACCATGGTAATATAAATTAGAGTTTCATATACAACAGTTGAAGTCTTATAATATTCATTTCTATCTATTTATCAAAATTCAATTTATTTATTTGCATTTTAAACTCTAAATTGTAAATTAGTGCATAGGAGCATACTAACGCGTACATTATATACCCTTCAAAGGTTGTGATGACATTTAAAAATATTTGAAGATTTCGGTACATTATTTATTTATATCATCGAAGAATTCGGCAATACTGTAATAACATTTTGCTACATGAATTGGTTCAAATGATTTACAAATTTAGTGTAATTTGGTATAACTTTAAGATGATTAGGTGTTTAGTTATATATTTTGCTGACCATAGAATGTAGAGCAGCTGTGCATATCTTTAATTTAGAGAAAAATATTTTAATTTTATTTTGGGTTCTATTATTTCGTTTTACTGTTTTTATCGGGGAATACAAATGTGAGTGCTTTCTAACAAACTTTCTTTTTATTTAAATCGCGTATATTTGTTTTTTCAAACAAACCGACGTTTCGGGCCCTTTACAGGTCCCATGGTCACGGTTGACAAATATACGCGATTTAAATCCGGAAAAATAGTTTCATTTCCTAACCATACCATTGTTAAAATACCTCCAACCGCAACCAATTGCAGGAGCAACGGTAGGTCGCGATAGCCTGGCCGACATCACGGGGCCCGTCACAGAGCTGGACAGCGCTAACAGCTCCCCGGGAGTGCAACGGGTATGTTTCTTGTCTCACATGACTATTTTGTTATCGAAATACACCGAATATATAACCAGAAATAGAGACGAAGTGTCATTTAATTTGTTTGAAAACTATTCTGCCAAATCATTACGGTGACAACTGCGCACCGATTGGCCAGCCCGAATTCGAAACAATTGACGGGTGTCGTCAATTGTTTCACTACAAATCGACTTTTTTAAGTTAAGTTGAGCTTTGCTATAATGGACGAAAATTGCAAAATTACATATTTAATATTTCATTACCGATGAAATTTGATTTCGTTTCTTTTGTAATTAGATGTTTTGCTATTTTTCCCACGCCACCGAATGGAACAGCACGCCATTGTTAGAGATCTTTATTACAATAAATACGGAATATTTTTGGAATATACGAAGATGTATACGCAGGTCATTTGTTGGCGCTGTACTATTTCAGCTTTCTATTTTGTAATTTTAGTGACAACGAGAGTTTATAAGTGATGTAGCACTGATGAGTTATCAGGGATGTGTGGCCCTTATTTCGTCTCTATTTCTTTTTATATATTCGATGTCGAAATATGATCGACACGCACAGAAACACTCGTATATACCACATATAATCTATTTTTTTTAGAAGACGGAGTAAAATGACATTTGTAGGGTTGCCAGTCTTCACAAAATTTGAATTAGTTATGTAGTTGTTGGTTGCTGCGGTCGTCGTCGATAGTCGATTAGTGAATGGCTGCTGACAGCAGATGGATGCGATGAGATGTGGACCGGGCGATATGGCGCGTATTTGGGAGAGGTATTTGATGGCGCGTATTTGATGATGACAATCACTAGTTACTCCATCTTCAAAAAAGACAGGCTATAACCAATGACTTACAATTATATGGACGTCGGGTCCGCGCTAAAAAGTGT